ATGTCCCCGAATGGGCAGGAGGCTGTCTGTCCAGTTTATTTGTGTGGATCAGTCTGTCTGAGTGTCTGAGCCGCTGCCTGCAGGGCCCCCCCATCCTTGGCACGTGATAGGGGCTGCTGGGAGCACAGCGTGGCATCCCCCGGTGGACCACTGGGCCCCGGTGCTGACCATGGGGGATAGGGCCAGGGACTGGAGATGGCAGGGGGCCAGGCACAAAGTTCACTCCAGGGCCACATCCTACAAAAGAACCAGCCATTATCAGAGAGTGGGCTTCTGACCAAGTGAGCCCAGCTCTGCCTCCAAGCAGCTTTAGTCCTCCAGGGTGAGCTTCTCTGGGCTTCAGTTTCCCCATCTACAAAATGGCAACACCATTTCCCCTTCCACTAACCAGCAAACTGTGACAATCAACGGTTGATTAATGAGTCTACAGATGCTGTAGATCCAGCAGTGACTGGACCCAATCCTGGGGGCACAAGGAGCTACTGAACTCCTCTCAGTCCACCTGGGCATGGGAGGCAGGTGGGGGAAGGTGCACAGGGAGGCTAGGAGAGGTGGAAAGGGAGGTCTGTGGAGGCACCTACCTAAGTGGGATGACATCGAGAAGTCTTCTGTTGAATTATAATTGAAGAATTCGTGGGGTGGGAAGGGCTGGCCTGGGAAAAAAGGGGTGTCCTGGGGCAGGGGTGGAAACAAGGGAGGTGGCGAGGGCTGAGGAATGGAGTATGGGAAAGGCATGGGAGGGGGCAGGGGAGAGGGCTGGGGTGGGGGCAAGGCCAGTTGCTCCCCGAAGTCTGGGGGCTGCCCATGGCTCCCCTGGAACAGATGATCCGGCTCTGGCCAGTTCTCAATCCACGGGTCTAAGAACGGGATGGTTGTTTGTTTTAGGCCTGAGAGCCAGGCTGCCCAGAATTCCGGTTGTCCGCACTCTTAAACCTCTCTTCCCTCCTCTTGGAGAACAGGGCCACCAGGACGGGGCACCCTCTGCTTCCTACCCCGTCTTCCTCACACTGTCTCATTTCGGGCTAAGCCCAGTGTATGTTCCTTCTTCTTTGCCTTTCTCAAAGTCATAGATCTGCTTTTGTTCTAACCTTATGCTCCCCTCTAGAGCCTTCTCTCTTTGTATGCTTGGTTCCTGTATCTGTAGCTTTTTCTTCTCCCAGCTCCTCCCCACAGACCAAAAAATGAGCCTAAGAAGTCTTTTCTCTGGACAACATGAGACCCTGTCACTCTCTTCTCCCAGCAGTCCTGTGCCTTCCAAACTTCCACACGGAGTATTTTGCCCAGTTCCCATTCTCTCATCAACCGCTCCCGCCTCTAAACCCTGCTTCACTCCTTCAGCACTTTTCTGACTAAATGTAACCACTTCCTCTCTTCCTGCCAGTCATACTAAATGACTAAGAGCCCCTGTCCTCCCTGATAGTGCCTCTGCCCTCAGGTCCTTTTGTTTCCTCCATCAGCCCCTCTTCCCTTCCAACTCCACAGCACGGCCCTGCTTCTGCTCTCTCCTTCACAGCTGACTCTGAGACCCACAGCCCCACATTTCCACAGCACCTCAGAGGTCTGCCTGGACCAAACTCACCAATCACATCTTCCTACCCAACTCTTCCTTTTCACCTCCCTACTTCTGGACCTTCAAACTGGATTCAGAAGACCTAAGCCACCACGAACTAGCCTTACAACAATTAGGGCATCCCTCTCTTTGCTGGGGATAACAAGGAAACTGAGCCATTATATAATCAAAGTTCTAATCCACCTCCCCAAGGATCCAACGCCTGGCTACCAAGTCCTAGATTACCTCCGTGACATTCCTGGCCTCTCTGTGCCCTCACTCGCTCTAGTGCCGCTGTAACAGCCTTCTAACACGACTTGTGCCCCCAACTCAACAAACGCTATCCTGCAGGTACTATGGACAGAGCCAACTGTACCAGACCCCAAGGCCAAAAGGGACGAGCTGACAACAAGGTAGGAACCTTGCCCTTTGAGGACATGATCCAGGGGGAAAGCACACATGCAAACAGTCAGCCACCACATTCCTTTTGCGAGCGGGCAGGAACTGAGAGGCTTGACAGCACCATGTGAGGGGCTTCTTTGCTTCTGTAACATCGCATGATTGCCCTTCTTCCATTTCTGTCTTTCTACCCCCAGCCCCCATGCCTAGCTAGAAGTCCCCCCATTTCTTTCCTGTTCATCTGTGGGATAGGAGTCTTTTGACACGCTGCCTTATGTGCTCAAAGCTTATATATACTCACTCACGTGCAGAGATGATTATATGCTAGCGCACACAGAACCAGAACTTGGATCAAAACGCTGTTCCTGTGATCTCACCCTCCCCAGGGGATGAGAAAGGTGCACTCGGGAGCCACAACAGACCTTCGAGAGGCCTCTACTCCCTGAGTACCTCTGTCCTATTCTGGGTCTGAGCCCTATGCTCTAAGAACCCCCTCTGCATCATTCTCCTACCCCCTTGTGGCAGGGCTCACCAGAGGGATAGTCACGCTTGGGCAGCTCCACGCCCCAGGCATCGGCCACGTGGGTCAGAAGCAAGTGTGAGAGGTGGCGGTGAGCGTGTTGGTCCCAGTGGACACCGTCCCGGTGACGGTGCTGTACTGCGTGCCGAAAATGGAAGTGGAGGTCGAGGACATCAAAGCAGTGGTCCCCCGCCAGCGTTGCGCTGTAGAAATTCCCTTCAACCACATCCCTCCGCAGAGACCCCGCCAGGGGCTGGAGCTGAGTAAGAAAGTGCAGCATCTAAGAGCTGCACAATGAAGCAGGGTCGGGAGGGAAGGCCCTCTTATCTACCAGTCAGCTGCCTCCTCCCCCATCCTGAGGGGCCTCCGTCACTTGCCTCTGGCAGAAGGAAACCCCCAGTGACACGCTCCCCCAAGGGCATGGCCATGTTCCACACCAGCAGGCACGAGTCTGGCAACACCTGGTCCATGCGCACAAACACCCGCTCCAGGTTCTCCCGGTAGCTCTCCATCGAGCAGCGGCCATACCTGTCAGACAGCACATAGGGTGGTCAAGAGCACAGGGTGGACAGCCTCTGAGCTGTACCTCCACCCCCCAACCACTATTTCCCTCTCCCGCTGCCCCAACCTGGAGAGATCCCAGAGGCAGGAGTTGATGATCACCAGGTCCGGGGCAGGCCCGTAGGTCAGTTCCTCCAGGACGCCCTCGAGGTACTCGGAGTAAACGCGGGTGAGGAAGTAGAAGCGCACAAGGTGGTGGCCAGAACCCGAGCAGAACTGGCGAACCTCCCGGTACTGCGTTCCGTTGTGTAGCTCGCCCAGCTGACCCCCAGCCATCAGCTGGTCCTGTTCAAAGCTCAGCTCCCCCTGCCCACCCCCGGCACCCAGATGGTCAGACCCATGCTAGGGAAGAAGGCCCTGTCAGGCCAGGGTCTGTGCCCACCCACCACTGGCATGGCTACCAAGCTTCCCTCACCTTGGCTTTCAGCTGGGCAGCTGTGAGCAGTGAGTCCCTCTGGAGCAAGAGCACCAGGTCTTTGTACACAGCCCGCTGGACTGCAGGGAGACAGAGATCCTAAGGCTAAGACAAGCCTCATCCCACCCTAGTTCCTCCTAAGCCCAGGCCTTCCATCTTCCCAAGGCTGGGGCTGCCCACCACCACCACTGTGGAGTTCATTACAGAGGCAGGAGAAAAGCTGAGGTTAAAAAAATCCTGGTACCACCTCCGCCTTCAGGGGATACACTACCCCCAACTTAGTACACAGTGGCCCAAGATCACCAGGCAGTAGTCAGCTGGCCAAGTCACCCAGAAAACAACACAATCCACTGCTCCCATGAAGGAAAGTATGGGAGACTGTCAGGGGGAAAAATGCTGAGCAAGGATGGGGTAAAAAAATGTGTCGGACTACATCGATCAGGACTCCTGTGGAAGGTGCATGGGGAAATCAAAGACGGAAAACCCCCTGGACTGGAACAGACTCGGGGTCAGAAAGGTTTGGGTTCGAGACAAAGGATCCAGTCATAGAAAACAGACTGAAGGTACGGGGCTGGGTAGTGTGAACCTAGAGGGGCACTCACTTGAGTCCCCCAAGATGACCACGAACTTGTTGTGTAGCAGCTGCTGGACTTCCGAGGCCTGGAAGTGGACCATGGCGCTTCGCAGGGGGAGACGCGGCTCCTCGTTCTCCAGACAGAAGACCATGCCGCCGCGGCCAATGACGGGCTGCGGGGAGAGGCCACTAAGCAGCTCGCGGGCGGGGACTCAGGACAGGTCGGCCCCAGGGCCCGCCCCGGGATAAGTGAGACCTGCGCCGGCCCCTCCCGGGCTGCTCAGGACTACCGAGGCGAGGTAGCGGCGGCAGAGTGGGACCCATGGTGGCGTCTTGCCTCAGTCCCACCTGGCACCGGAGGCAGGGGGTCGCCAGCCCGCGGGCCACCAGGGCACCAAGGCGCTTTCCGCGCGGCGCCGCCCTGCGTGCGCCCAGCCACGTGCCCGCCACCGCCCCGCGCATGCGCGCGCCCGCTAGCGCCAATTACCGAGTCCCGGGGCGCTGCACCGTTCACCCACGCCCGGGGCAGGGCCGCGCACCGCGCGCCTTGCCCTCTGAGGGCCCCAGGCCTGGCCTCATGTTTCCCCGCCCGGGGACGCCAGTCGGTTCTGCACAGCCCGCGCCCAGCAGAACCCGTGCGTCCCGGTTAGCCGTCGGTGCGCAGCCCGGCGCCCAGCGCTCTCCATGCGTGCGTCGCGGCGGCCCCGACGGCGCCTCGGGCCTCGGCGCCTCGGGCGGCGACGCTCACAGCATCCACTTCCGGTCACCCATGTCCCGCCCTGCGCGACCCCCGGCGCCCGAGGGGACAGGAAGGCGGCGGGGTTGGCCGCGGCGGAGGGTAGGAGCCAGAGCTGAGCCCACCCGGGCGGGCACGAGGCCCGGGTGTGGGCGGGGGCGCGGCGGCGGCCAAATGTAGTTGCCCACACTGGTGATGGCCGTGGCGGCAGCCTCGCCACGTGACCCCGACGGGCGGAAGCGGAAGTGCCGGTCCGGAGCCCGTGCTAGGCGGGTGTCCCTCGGCGCTGCTCAGCCGCCACCTGCACCAGCCATGGACTGCTACACGGCGAACTGGAACCCGCTTGGGGACTCTGCCTTTTACCGGTGAGCCGCCCCGCCCTCCTGCCCACTGCTCGGCATACCCCGCTCCCCCGCTGGCTTGAGTCTTTGGGCCGAGCCGGCAGCGCGCGCCCCCGTCACCGTGGTCGCTGGGGTCCGCCCCTCGCGGGCTCACCCCCCCCCCCCCCCCCCCCAGCATCTACCGCTGAACGCACAGCCGCCTAATGGCCTGGAGGCCGGGCCTTCCCCAGCTCCAGGAAGGAAACTGAGGCAGTCACACCACGGTCACACGAGTAGGGGCAGAGAGAGCCCAAAGCTGAAGCTGAGATCTGTCAGCCTCCGGAAGGATGCTCAGATCACGTTGAGAGAGACGGCCTGTGGGTGACAGCGAATGTCCAGCCTCCTGCGGGGAAGTGCTGCCAAAGTTAGACTACAGTGGCGCTCCGCGGGAGGCGGGATCGCACGGCGGGCCGGGTAACAGCAAACTGGGAGAGAGGGGCGAATCCAGGGGCAGGGCGTGTGAGGACGCTCAGCTAGGGGTAACCCTCTCACGGGAGTCGTAGAGTCCTAGACCATATATCTATATATCTATATATAGATATACACACACACACACACACACACACACACACACACATATTTATTTATTTGACAGAGAGAGACACAGGAAGAGAGGGAACACAAGCAGGGGGAGTGGAAGAGGGAGAAGCAGGCCTCTCGCTAAGCAGGAAGCCCGATGCGGGGATCGATCCCAGGATCCTGGAACCATAACCTGAGCCAAAGGCAGAAGCTCAAAGGCTGAGCCACCCAGGGGCCCCGAGTCCCAAACTATTGATGTGAAGTGTAAACCGATCACATTATTACCCTGATGAGGACTTTTCAGCGGCGCCACTTTTTTGTGGGGTAAAATACAAACTCCTATTGGAACATCTGTAAGTCAGCCTCTGTTTATCTCCAGTTCCGTCTGCCCCTCTCCTACCCAAGTCTGGTATTCCAGTTGCACAGAATTACAGAACCCCAATACACCACGATGTTTCATGGCTTCCCATGTTTGCATCCAGCCTGCAGGTACTTCTCTGGGTACTGCCATTGCTCTTTTTATCTCACTGGAAAATTTTTGCTCATCTTTCAGGGCTTAGTTCAAGGGTTCATTCTGAAACTGTCCCCGATCCAGTCCCAGTAGAGTCAGCTGACTTTCCTTTGGGCCTCTCCGGCGGGTGTTGCTGTCTGTTATGGAAGGCGCAGTAGGGCAATATTTGCATGTGGTTTTTTCTGCTAAACTAAGTTCCTCGAGGACCAACATTCTGTTTATCTATGTCCAGTGCTCATAGAACGGTGCCTGTTATGTAGTAGTTGCCCAATAAAGTTTTAAAAATACTTTAGTGATTTCAACTAAAGGTCACAAAGATATTGCGTTGGGGTCATATTTCAACACAAAGTACTCTTGTGTTAGTGAAACTGTATGGCGATTTTTAGAGATCCTTTGCATTTGTTGTTTATTTGTAATTCTTCTGTCTTATAAATATGCCTATGAAATATGCAATATGAAAATGCAGAAATTTAATTTAAAAAGCAGTAAAGTCGGGGCACCTGGATGGCTCAGTGGGTTAAAGCCTCTGCCTTCGGCTCAGGTCATGATCCCAGGGTCCTGGGATTGAGCCCCGCATCAGGCTCTCTGCTCCGCAGGGAGCCTGCTTCCTCCTCCCTCTGCCTGCCTTTCTGTCTACTTGTGATCTCTGTCTGTCAAATAAATAAAATCTTAAAAAAAAAAAAAGGCAGTAAAGTCAGTAGGAAATAACAATGATTTCAACTGTTTTTCCAGAGAAGGTATGTCATTAGACAAAAGTAGCCACGTAACTTAGTGTTTCGTACATCATACACTTTTAAAAATATTAACTCGTGTTATTTTGGAAAATACATGTGACCACACAGGTTTGTTAAATCAGAGAATGCTGAAGATAATGACCTCATTACCACAGAGCTCCTCTTTATCACATGCAGTCTTAGCTTTGTTGGTATACCAGGAAAGATTTAAATGAGTGTAAGTGTGGAATGCCCGCCGTAGACGTGACCTGTCTGGGCAGCCTCCCCTTACCTGTGCTGTGCTGCCAGAAAGAGTAGAAGTCTAAGCCTTGCTCTGGAGGATATATGATTTTTGCTGATGGAGGAACTGTGTACTAGACACTATGTTAAGTATTTTATATGTATTAACTTGTTTGTTTCAAGACCTTATGAGGTATGTGTTGTTATTAGCCCCATCTTCCTGAGGCACAGAAAGGTTAGGTGCCCAGGTCACCAAGTAAGTGGTGGAGCCAGGCTTTGAATCCATTGTTCTTCTAGAACCTGTGTTAAAGCATAGAGGTTTTGGTTTTGGTTGTTGTTGTTGTTGTTTTAAATCGGGAAATATATAGCATATTCTAACTTCACCAGAGTGGAAATATTTTAAATGCAACTATTTAGTTTTATTGATATTTGTGCATAGCTTTATGGCAGGGCATGTTCCAATAAGTGAATGAATGACTGATGTAAGTATTGCATTTTGAGTCCTGTCTGCAGGTCAGGATTCTTTTGTGTTGGAAGTAATGTTCTGGAAAGCTCACTGAATTTGGGAAGGGAATGAGGGGGAATGGTTACTAGTTCTTATAGGGCTCCAGAATTTAAGCCATTTTTATCTTAAAAACCAACCTTGGATTAATCCTGTTAGTTAATTTTGCCCAACCCTTTTCAGGGCTGAATGTATATCAACCAATAAAAAGACATGGACTCTGGGGCACCTGGGTGGCTCAGTGGGTTAAAGCCTCTGCCTTCGGCTCAGGTCATGATCCCAGGGTCCTGTGATTGAGCCCTGCATCGGGCTCTCTGCTTAGCAGGGAGCCTGCTTCCTCCTCTCTCTCTGCCTGCCTCTCTGCCTACTTGTGATCTCTGTCTGTCAAATAAATAAATAAAATCTTTTAAAAATTTAAAAAAAAAAAAGACATGGACTCTGTCTGCTCTCATAGAGCTTACAGCCAGCAGGAGACACAGTTGATAACCATTAACGACTCAGTATTTATTTAATCATAATCAGTGTAAAGGAGAGATATAAGGTCCTAAGAGAGTACATATAATAGACTGGGAGGTTAGAGATAAAGAAGACTTAATGAAGGAAACAATAACACCCTATCCAGGGAATGAGTAAATGGAGGTGCAGGGAGTGTGATGGAAGAAGCGTATACAAAGGTCCTGAGGCAGGAAAAGACTAGGACACTCTCAATCATCTAAACAGAGCCAGTGTGTTTGGATTGCCAGGAGTGTATGTGTGTAAATAAGACTGTTTTGGAAGGAGCAAGCAAATATGGACACAAGGGTGGATATGCCTGGGAGAAGTTGATGGTGGAGAGCACTGGGGCAGTGATGTTGGAAATAGAAAGGGATGCATGAGAGAAGTATTTAGAGGACAAAATTAAAGGAAATTGTGATGGGTTGCACTGGGTAGAAAGGAGGTAGAGCAAGAAATTGAGGATGACTGGGCTTTTGGCTTAAGACAAAAAAGGAAGAGTGAGTTTTGTGGGGAAAGGTTTACCTTGGTTTTGGACACATTGCTTCAGGTACTTTAGTAGAAACATCCCTTACGGTAAGAGAAAGGAGACAAGATACATTATGTACTCCTGAAACTCTTCTTAGAGGAGAGATTGACTATTGTAGTAGGGATTTTTTTTGGGGGGGGGAGTAACATATAAACACAAACATTTTTTTAAGATTTTATTTTTAGGGCACCTGGGTGGTTCAGTGGCTTAAATCCTCTGCCTTCAGCTCAGGTCATAATCCCAGGGTCCTGGGATCAAGTCCCTCATTGGGCTCTGCTTCCCTTCCTCTCTCTCTGCCTGCCTCTCTGCCTACTTGTAATCTCTGTCTGTCAAATAAATAAATAAAATCTTAAAAAAATAAAAAAAAATATCTTAAGTAATCTCTACACCCAACGTGGGGCTCAAACTTAAACCCCTGAAAGCAAGAATCACGTGCTCTACTGACTGAGCCAGCCAGGTGTCCCTAAACGTGAACATTTTAAAAAATTGTGGTTAGGCGGCCCTGGGTGCCTCAGTCGGTTGGTCATCCAACTCTTGATTTCAGCTTGGGTCATGATCTCAGATCGAGCTCCGCATCAGGCTCCCTGCTCACTGGGGAGTCTGCTTTCAATTCTCTCTCTCTCTCTCTCCCTCCCTCCCTCCCTCCCTCTATTCCTCCCCCTCAAAATAAAACATAAAAATAAGTCTTTAAAAAATTGTGGTTAAATATACATAACATAAAATTCACTACCTTAACCATTCTAAAGGATAGTCCAGGAGTGTTAAGTATATTCATGTTGTGCAATGAAATCTCCAGAACTTTCTCATCTTGCAAAATTGAAACTCTATATCCATTAGATAATAACTCTCCATGTTCCCCCTCCCCCAGCCCTGGTAGCAGCCATTCTGTTTCCCTTTTCTATGAATTTGACTACTGTAGATAGTTCATATAAGTGAAAGTGTGGAAGTGGAAGCGTAAAGTATTTGCCTCTTTGTGACTGGTTTATTTCACTTAGCATACTTTCCTGTCCTCAAGGCTTATTCATATCATAGCCTGTGTCAAAATTTCATTCCTTCTTATGGCTGAATAATACTCTCTTGTACATGTATAACATTTTATTTATGCAGTCATCCATCAATGGATACTTGGGTTACTTCTATCTCATGGCTAGTATGAATAATGGTGCTATGAACATGGGTGTACAAATGTCCCTTTGAGACTATTTTCAGTTCTTTTGGATATATACCTGAATAGAATTGCTGGATCACAGGTTATTCTGTGTTTATTTATTTGAAGAACTATCAGACTCTTTTCCATGGCAGGCACACCATTTTAAATTCCAGCAACAGGGCACCTGTGTGACTCAGTGGGTTGGGCCTCTGCCTTCGGCTCAGGTCATGATCCCAGGATGCTGGGATGGAGCCCCGCATTAGGCTCTCTGCTCAGCAGGGAGCCTGCCCGCCGCGGGCCCCCCCCCCCCGCCTCTCTGCCTACTTGTG